TAAGAGGAGTCATTGTATCCTTTTTACCCAATATGTTTTCCAAATGTCTTTTTTAAAATTGTTACATTTTACAGTTTTTTTGTTTGCTTGTAAATCAGAGAGAAAGCTAATCTTCACACAAATCTGGCATTAAGTTGTTGAGATATCGTGTCTTAAAATTTAAAATTTTGGCATTAATTGAGACGTTATGACAGAGCAGAAAACCTTTTATTAATAAATTTTATGTCTTTCGAAAGTCCAATCAATATATCGTCATACCTTCATTCATCTCCGAGATATCTGGGTTTCGACTTTTTTTAATTTTGTGGCCTAGGCTATAAAAGCTCAATTGACTTTCTCCTATTTCGCATAAAAAGCATGTTAAAATAACAGGTCAAATGGCTAGTATGGCCTAACCGAACAGGAGGGGAATTCATATACAAAACAACGCACAATAAACCCAAAAAGACCATACATACATACATATGAATGTATGTATATATGTAAGTATAGAGTTAAAGGGCAATCACGGCCGACACTGTGGGTATGTTAAAAGGGAGACAATTTGCATCATTCAATTTCAGATAAGATAGTCCAAAAATAGTAATACAAATCCCTTTTTCTAGGACGCTTTCATGTTGAGCAACCTCTTTTTTATCAAGATTTCCAAAATGTGACTTTTTCCGCCCTTAGCAATGAAAGTAAAATGTAGGTTATTAGCATTATAGACCTCTCTAGTTGGTCTTCAGATTTTGAAACATCTGACAAAATTCATTGTGTTCCAAATCTGAAAACCAAACCTATTTTATCCTTTCCACCGCAAACACTCTGCTGTAGGGTTTTAAAAACCAATTTCGTAGTAAATAAAATGAACAAAAAAATACTTGTGTGCCATAATAATGGCAAACGTTGCGGAAGTCAAAATGGCAAACAAAAATAGCGAAAGGAAAAAAAATGAAATCAAAAATTGTTAAATGTTTTTGTGTGTATGGAGTAAGTATGAGTATTAAAAAATAATTTACCTTTTTTTCTTTTGTTATTGTTATTGTTGGTAATGTTTCTGATAAATAGACTAGGTACGTTGTTACTTACTGCTGCTGTTATTGCTATTTATGGTTAAACAAAAATTGTCGTTGAACAAAAGAGACATTAGACCTGGTCTTAAAAAAATAGTCGATAGTTGGATGGATTTCGTTCTTAAGTAGCCAAAATAGTGATTAGCCCCCACTGTGAGATGATAATGAAATTAAAAAATTAAAAGCTTTTTTTCTTTTCTTTTGTGTTGATCGGCATTAAGATCCCTGATCTCTTGATGCAAGATTTAAGATCAATCTAATTATCCCTATCGAAAAACAATTGAAACTACCCAGAAAAACTAGGCAATGGCTTCCAAATGAATTACTTACCTAACAACATACTTTTCAGTGACTACAACATATCGTCTGGATTACATAGAAGTAGTCTAATAAGGTCTTACTAATAATATGTTATATAAATACTTCCTAATTCATTAGTCATCTTGCGAGTAAAGATATAGAAACTGTTTACGTTTTTTCATGCGATTTACATGACAACTTTTTCTGATTACTTGTAATCGTTCGTGGTAAGTATTTGACTCCAATGACATCACCGTGTTAAAATAATGACTTAAAATTCTATTGTGTAAGCAAATTTTAGCATTTTAACTCCTTACATGGTAATGAAAGTTTTTGGTAAATATCACTGAGGACTAATCAATAAATTTAAAATTTATTGATTAGTCCGCTGACTAGTCTATGGACTAATATGTCGAATAGTATATTGTCTTATCTGTTGCTAATCTATTGACTAGCCTATTGAATAGTCGTTGGATTTGCCTATTGATTAGTATATTGATTAGTATATTGATTAGTATATTGATTAGTCTTTAAACTAGCTTTGGACTAGACTAGTTTTTTAACACGCATTTCAGAAATTAGAATGCATGTCAATTACATAAACTAGTCTATTGCCCAGTCTATGAAAAAGTCTGTTGGCTAGTATATTGACCAGTCTATAGACTAGTTCATTGGTTACACTGCTGAAAAGATTATTGATTAGTCTGCTGAATATTTTATGAACTAGTATGTTGAAAACTAACATGTTGCCTAATTTATGGACTAGTCTATTGATTATTGTGTGGACTAGTATATTGACTAATCCTTTGTATTATATGGTCTTGTCTGTTGACTAGTCTATTGATTAAACTCTTGACTATGGACTATCAACCTCTATTAACTATGGACTATCCTAGTCCATTGACTATGGGTTATCATAGTCTATTGACTATGGGCTATCCTAGTCTATTGACTTGACTTGCCTTTTAACTAATCTATGGATTAGTCTATTAGTCTATAAACTAGACTAGTGTATTAACATGCTGCTAGACTAAAGTCTACAATGGATTACAGTAGTTTTTTAATTAGTATTTATGTATATGAGCTAGTATTTTAACCAGCCGTTTTGGCTAGCTTTACAACTATGACATGGGGGTTCTGCGGTATTTTTCTTTACCGGAAAATCTACTATAGTACACAGAGGAAAAAGGAAATATACACGCCTGGTACCAAATTGACACCAACGAGATTATAATTTTTCAATAACATCCGCTGTCAAAGTATATGCATACGTACGACAAAACTATGTAATGTTGACAACGCAACGTTGTCAACATTGCAACAATTCGTTGTCGAAATCTAAATTTTATACACATTCGTTGTCTAAATGTTAACAAACGTTCGACAACGAATTGCTGCAATGTTGTCGACATTACATAGTGTTGACGTAAGTATGTATATACTTTGACAGCAGATGGTATTGAAAAATTATAAACAGTTTGGTGTCAATTTGGAACCAGGCTCTGTGTACTTGACTGATTGATCTGAAACTAACTATTACAAAACTAAAGAGCAATCGAACTACCGAGAAAATCCATCTTAAGCAAATTTATTTTTTTTAGTACCTAACTAATACTACTTCTGTTTTTAGCTTAAAGTCATTGTTTGCTGATTTTGCTCGGTTTTATGAAATTGAAACGGAAATACATAAACACACGTACTTAAGAGAAATGAAAGAAAAACAGGAAACTTATTGAAAATAAAATGTCGTAAGAAATTTGTTAAAAACAATAGCATTTTTACTAAAAGACATATACATATACATACGTTATATGAAGTTCTTGTAAACAGAGAACAGTTAAATTAAAAATGTGTTTCAGTTGGCAAGATTTCTTTAAGAATATTAATACATAGGAGGGGAAAACATAAAAGTTATTCGAAAATAATTTTGAAAAGAAAATAAAGAAATGCCTTATTAGACTGCCCTCTTAAACATATGTAGGTAAGTTAATATATGAGCATATGTTAGCTAGAAGTTAGGTGTGTCTGGTTTCGAATTCGTTTTTCAAACAAATTTAATAATAAGCAAAATGTTATATTTAAACTTAAGATATGGTTTATTTTTATCTTCTGTACTGTTTTTTTGGATAATTTAATTATACTACACTTCAAGTTTTTCCCTCAATTTTAAACTTGACACATGTAAATATTTGACAAGTAAGTGTTGATTGTGTAGATAATTTGACAGTTTTTTTATTTTCATATTCGTAGAGTATTCCACGAATTAGGGAATGTTTTTTGGTAAATGTAAAAATGTTTTAAGGATTTTCTAGTTTTAAGTATATGTTGTTTATCTTTTTATATTTCCATGGAAGTTAAGAGCAAATATTATAAATGCTTTAGAGAAAATAGAAAAGTTTAGGAAAAATCTTGTTAAAATACCTATGCAAATACATACCTAAGAAAAATTTTTACTTTATAAGAGCTGTTGATATTTTTAAGTGGAATTTAAATTTAATAATGTTTCGGCATTATTTGACTATTAAAAATTAAACCTATATGATATCAATTGGAATATAAGTTTTAAATGTTTGTATAGGAAAAATTTCGCAGGAAAATATTATATTATCATTATTGTTTTCTGAAAATATTTATAGAACATTTAGTTGAATTTTTAGATATTTAATTTACTACGAATTTTATATTTAAGTTTTTAAATATGTAGTTATGAATATTAAGAATGTTTTAGTTGACCCAAACTCATATTATTTGCATATCAGTATTAAATAAAACTCCTATATTATTTACATAACTATTCAATATTAAATTTACTTATTAGAAGTTAACAAGAATTTAATTTTCAAGCTAAGAAGGAAAAGTTGTTGAAAAGTTTTGCTATCAAATATCGTAAAGCTATCATTTTCTACCTTAATAATGAAACGATTATTTTTGTCATTTCTTATAAAAATCGTGAATATTCAAACATTAATTATAGCATGTTTCGAATCAGATCAAAACGATCACAATTTTTTGGAATTTTCCTAGAATCTCAAATATTCGAAAACCTTTAACTTTAGTTTTGATTTTTTTGTATTTCAAAAATTGTATGTTGATATGCAGGACAACAAATTTGTAACCCAGAGAAAATGTGTACTTTTCTACAAGATTTGTCTCAGAAATTCTCCATCACATCAAGAGATATCATGTCATAAATATTGAAAAATGCATTATTTGGTCATATTTTAAACCTTAAAAAAGTTGTATTTGCTGAGACAAATGAATACGAGTGTGACTATGATATCTTCAGCATACAAATCTTTAATCAGACATGCTTTCTAGAAGTTTGAAAATCACTAAAATCGGTTCAAAAATAACGAAGTTATGAGCAATATTCCGATAACAACATGATTTGTTCAGAATTTTGAATATATTTCGGATCAAGTCCATGCTCACCATATTCACCATTCATCTTATTTACCCTTAAGAAAAAAATATAACAGTACTTGAAAAGGTACTTATGAATTGTCCCAAAATTGAGGTGACCTACTTCGTTTAGCAGAGGCACACACTATATTATTTCCATCATGTCACAAAGCATAGACACAAACCTTTTATAACAATTATAACACTTATAATTCATACAATTTTTTAATTTTTTTCCTACAGCATATTCAACAGCTGCTTTATTGGCCATTGTCTTTGCTATACCATTTGGTATACGAATGTTGGTACACAAGGACCGAGGGCAATGGGAAGAATTTGGCCCAGCTTTCTATACAGCACATTTAGAACTATTTTTGGGTAACGGTTGTTTAGGTGAGTGAACAAACTAAATTTCCAACTAATGGTGAATAAATAAAATTATTCTTGAAATCGCGTTACAACAGGTGTAGGTGTTATGATGCTGTTAATACTAACCATAGAACGTTACGTGTCAGTGTGTCATCCTAGTTTTACACGACCCGTAATGGGTCCTCCAGGGTAATATACATATATTAAGAGAACATTATGTGATGTAATATTTGTTTATGTAAATATGAGAACTAATGATATTTGTTTATATTTTTGTTATAGACTCATTGTATTCCTAACCACAATGATAACTTTTGTTATCTACCTGCCGAGTGTGTTCCGTGGGGAACTTATTAAATGTGTTTTACAAACAGATGGACGTTTTGTTTATTTTCGTAGAGATAATAATGCATTTTTGAGAACAATATTTTATTCGGTAATAATTTTTTGAAATATTTTAAATAAGGAATTTTAATTGTTTAAAATTTTTCAGTAATTTTTTATTATTTAAACTTTGTATTAATATTTTTTTATTATTTCTTGTCTAGATCTATAAGGTTATGCTGGAAGTGCTATTTAAATTAATACCAACTGTTTTAATAGCTGGTTTGAATTTACGCATTATGATGGTTTATCGTCAAACTTGCGAGAAAAGACGTAAAATGACCTCGTCTAGAGCCTCATATATTAAGGATGCTGAAGAAAGAAGACTATTTTTATTGCTAGGTGAGCATCTGATTGACATAATAATGTTGTTAAATAATTAATATTAATTGTCAAATTTTAGGTAGTACATCTATATTATTTTTGGTGTGTGTCTCACCGATGGCAATTTTACACATGACAATTGCTTCGGAAGTTTTACCCAGTTTTTCATTTCAGGTGAGTTAATAGGGGGGATTTGCAAAATATTGAAAACAAAATAATTGCCACAAATTTACTCTGTGTAATGCAAAGTAAAATGAGTCGCTTTCATGAAGTCCCCAATTAATCCAATGCGGAAGTCAATCGTCACTTTATTGCCCCCATCTAGTTGTGACAATAGACACTTCTTTAACAAGTAGCTTTTTAATCGCCAGAACAGTGGTACATCTAACTGGCAGGTAAAATTAGTAGTTCTGGAATACCAATTCAAAAAGCAGAGAAAGTTTAATTTGAACATAAAGGTATGCATTGTAATCTACGATCTAGAAGTCGATTCTAATACATCGACAGAAGATATCGGATGAAAACAGTCGTCAAACGCTTATCTATTCAATGCTTTTGTGGCGGAGAAAATCATAGTTTTTGGATTGCTATAGGAAACTTAAATTGTTGTCTGAAGGTACCCTTAGTCTACTGGGACTATAAACTGGTGATGTCACTTCACTCCTCGGCTAGTCGTTGGTATGATCTGACATGGGGTCTAACCAGAGGACCACATAATCTGGTACTACGGGTGGCCAGTTGCCCGCAGGACTTGTCCTGGCCTTAGTGGCTGTGGTTTAAACCCAAATTCGCGGGAAGAGTGAGTTGCGGTTAAAGGACTGATGTAAAGTCAATATTTCGGGATAAGTTCGGTGCTGTTGCCGAAACAACAGATATCCCACAGATGAGTGACTGTGGGACTAAGCTTTGGAAATGAGTTGGTGTTGATTGTATATGGTACAGGATGATTGTGGGGTATGCGGGCCTCACCCACCCGTTTACCTAGAACAAGTGTGTCGTATGTTTTTCTCTTATGAATGTGTTGGATGCATGAATGAATGCATGAATGTGCTGGGTTGAATGATGATGGATGAAAGGTATCTCATACAAGTGATACCATAAAATTGTCCTTCCTTGTCCAGATATGTTCAGAGTAAACTCTGTTCATATCAGAATTACAAAGTCTCGGCTTATTTAATTGATTCGTACTTCGGTCTATCGGTTACGTCTCTAGATGCTGTTGCCGACTCAACAGAGGCCATCCCATCTGTGTGGTTGTAAACGGAATTCATGTTTGCATATTAGAAGTTAAGCAACGGGAAAGCAATAGTCAGAGATTAGATAGCTCAAGTACTTAAGCGAAGTGCACGTATACTGGAGCGGAACTTCCATATACGTAAATTGTCACTTGCGTGTAACAAACACAATGAGGCGGTGGCGAGTTGTCACAAAGCACCACCGATAAATAGGCCAACATGACAGGTGTTCACTTAAAGCACTTCGACATTTCATGTCTCCAACACTGGAGTCTATAATCTGGTACCACTGTATCCAGGAGATCCTGGAATATCAGTTCCAGCCTGGTTGTTGGTGGTGGTTTAATTAAAAATCGCAGGTCGATTATACGGATAAGTTCTGTGCTGTTTCCGAGACAACAAATAATCCACAGGTGAGAGACTGTTGGACTAAAAGTTAGCAATGAGTATGGATGTAGGGGTATGTGGGTCGGATGTTTTTCTCAATGAGTGTGTTGGATAAACGAGAAGTGTGCTGGGTTGAATAGTGATAATTGTAAGGTATTTTATACATCTATCACCATTAAATTGTTCTTCCTTGCCCGGATAGGTTTTACTCTGTTCATATCAGATTTACCACAGTGTGTTCTGTGAAAGTCAGATCAATACCTCTGCATATTTGATAGGTTTACCTAAATAATAGGAAACTGGAATTTTATCATGAAGCCAGCAAGCAACGTTAGCTTTCCTATTGGATAGTCTCATTCACTTTGAAGCAGTGTATATGAAGTCGAAAGAAATATGCTTTTCCGGAAACCTTTCGGGTGATAATTTAGTGATGATTTCTCAGGCGAAAAAAAATTCATAGATATATCTCATACTTGTAGATGCAATTCAAAATAGAACTTAAATTATTTTCTTGCTTTGAACCCTTCAAAACGCTTATAACAAGAGACGTTTATGTTTATATTCACAATAAAATTAGCTTCTTCTTAAATACAAATACTTATTCCTCTTTTGCCCCTACGCCACTGTTCTAACAAAAAATAATGAAATTAAACAACACCATTGTAGGTGTGCAAACATGTAAATCTATAATCGTTTTCATTTCGTCTTTATACAGTTTAAATGGCCGCCTTTCCGCACACGAATACATACATATGAACACGAGAGCAAAAAGTGTAAATGAATTTTTGTCCAAAAATAAACAAGTTCGTGCTATTTTTGGAATAGTTACTGCTTGTTTGATTCTTTTTTGCTGCTACTCTACTACCTTTTCAATTATAATCATTGATGTAACCTTGTAACCTCTTAACCATTCTAGGTTTTTAGAGCATTGGCAAATCTATTGGAGTTGACCAATTATTCCATAACCTTTTACATCTACTGCTTGTTTAGTGAAGATTTTCGTAATACTCTAATGCGTACGATTAAATGGCCCTGGATTAAATCGCAATTGTGTCATCAGGTGGATGAGGTGAGTTAAGGAAACAAAATAAATATATTAAAATTTAAATTTATTATTTTACATTTATTTTCCTTAAGGTCTCTGCCAAGCAAACACCTCTTAATAATTTTGATAAATTAACTTTGCGTAATCATCATATAACCACCACATCGGGCGTATGCACCGGTATTGGCCGTTCCAGTAGCATTTGATGCAAATTTGTTCTAATACTCTAATTAGTTATATTAATTTAAGTTGAAGAAAATAAACTATTTTTTAAAATTCAATACTTATTAAATGCTAAATATAATATTAAAAAAAATACATGTAAAAACTAAATCTGTGTTCATTGTTACAAATTAATATGAAAAGAGTAAAAAAAGAAAATATTTTACAGTAATATTAAAAGAAAGTGAAAAAAATGTTTACTGTAAGAATACTTAATGAAAATATTTTGGGAATTTACAATTATTTATTAAAATAGCAAGAAAAATTAAAGAAAAACCAACCATATTAAGTATACTATTTATTATAATTTTAAAAAGTACATTTTATAAAATGTACAAGAAAGAACGGTATGCAAATCGAATAATACTACTCAACAAAATCTTAATTTTTAAAAAACTATTTCAATGTTTTCATCTAGACTTATATAAACTAAGCTGGGGTGGAAATTCAGTCCAGCTCTGGTTCTTGTTCTGTTCTAGTTCTGTTCTAGTGCTGTTCTAGTTCTGTTCTGTTCTAGTTCTGTTCTAGTTCTGTTCTAGTTCTGTTCTAGTTCTGTTCTAGTTCTGTTCTAGTTCTGTTCTAGTTCTGTTCTAGTTCTGTTCTAGTTCTGTTCTAGTTCTAGTTCTGTTCTAGTTCTGTTCTAGTTCTGTTCTAGTTCTGTTCTAGTTCTGTTCTAGTTCTGTTCTAGTTCTGTTCTAGTTCTGTTCTAGTTCTGTTCTAGTTCTGTTCTAGTTCTGTTCTAGTTCTGTTCTAGTTCTGTTCTAGTTCTGTTCTAGTTCTGTTCTAGTTCTGTTCTAGTTCTGTTCTAGTTCTGTTCTAGTTCTGTTCTAGTTCTGTTCTAGTTCTGTTCTAGTTCTGTTCTAGTTCTGTTCTAGTTCTGTTCTGGTTCTGTTCTAGTTCTGTTCTAGTTCTGTTCTAGTTCTGTTCTAGTTCTGTTCTAGTTCTGTTCTAGTTCTGTTCTAGTTCTGTTCTAGTTCTGTTCTAGTTCTGTTCTAGTTCTGTTCTAGTTCTGTTCTAGTTCTGTTCTAGTTCTGTTCTAGTTCTGTTCTAGTTCTGTTCTAGTTCTGTTCTAGTTCTGTTCTAGTTCTGTTCTAGTTCTGTTCTAGTTCTGTTCTAGTTCTGTTCTAGTTCTGTTCTAGTTCTGTTCTAGTTCTGTTCTAGTTCTGTTCTAGTTCTGTTCTAGTTCTGTTCTAGTTCTGTTCTAGTTCTGTTCTAGTTCTGTTCTAGTTCTGTTCTAGTTCTGTTCTAGTTCTGTTCTAGTTCTGTTCTAGTTCTGTTCTAGTTCTGTTCTAGTTCTGTTCTAGTTCTGTTCTAGTTCTGTTCTAGTTCTGTTCTAGTTCTGTTCTAGTTCTGTTCTAGTTCTGTTCTAGTTCTGTTCTAGTTCTGTTCTAGTTCTGTTCTAGTTTTGTTCTAGTTCTGGTCTAGTTCTGTTCTAGTTCTGTTCTAGTTCTGTTTCTAGTTCTGTTTCTAGTTCTGTTCTAGTTCTGTTCTAGTTCTGTTCTAGTTCTGTTCTAGTTCTGTTCTAGTTCTGTTCTAGTTTTGTTCTAGTTCTGTTCTAGTTCTGTCTAGTTCTGTTTCTAGTTCTGTTCTAGTTCAGTTCGAGTTCTGTTCTAGTTCTGTTCTAGTTCGGTTCTGTTCTGTTCTAGTTCTGTTCTAGTTCTGTTCTAGTTCTCTTCTAGTCTGTTCTAGTTCTGTTCTAGTTCTGTTCTAGTTCTGTTCCTAGTTTCTGTTTCTAGTCTGTTCTAGTTCTGTTCAAATTCTGTTCTAGCTCCTAGTAACCAGAACCATAAAAATTGGTTGGTCAAGAAATTCTGTTGCAACATCTAATAAATTTTGGCCGTGTAGAAGCTCCGCGACGATTTGTTGAGTAGTTATATTCAAATGTAAAATTTGCTCATGTATTTAATTAAATGTTTTTTGTAAATTATATTTATATATACAAACAATATATAAAAATAATTAATTAATAAAAATAATAAAAAATAATAAATTGGTGGTTTTATTATACATGTAAACATGTATAAAATGCAGTCAACAGATGCCTGAAATAAAACAATTTTTTGTTTGTGGAACAAATATTTATGAAGAAAAATTAAAAAAATATGTACTTTATTAAGCAACCACTTTATTTAGTAAAAAACAACTTGAAAAAATTTAAAATATTTTTTTAGTAGTAAGAAAAATAAAACTGCATTTTCGTCTGACGAAATATAAGATTAATTAAAACTTTTTATAGATTTTAAGTGTTGAAATTTTGTTGTTCAATTTTAGTTTATCACAATTTATCGTTTCAGGAATTTTAATTATTTCATTATTACCACATATACAATACACAGCACATTTCAAGTTATACATATTTTATTGTAACATTAACTGCCAAATTACTTATCTGATTAAATTTAATTAAGTTAACAGAAATATATGAAATTGTTTTTAAACCAAAGTTCGTTTTATAGGTTTACTTTTTTTAATTAAATACCAAATAACTGGTGTAATATGTAGTAGCGTTTGATTTGGCGTTTAAAATGGTTTTCGTTGAATAAAACTAAAAAGAACAAAACATGTTCTTGCAAAAAATAAAATAAAAATATGTTGTTCTAAATATATTAGAGAAATTAAATTGATCTTTAACTTCTAACATTCAGCATTTTACACTTGTTTTTTTTAATTTTCACTTAAATATGCATGCATGTTATTTGGTAAATCATATTATAAAATTTAAGTTGTTTCTATAACCCACATTTTACAATAAAACAATTAACTTTAATAATAAATAATAACATACATACATAGTATTACTAAATATACCATTTACTTTATGCAAATTGTTAAAAAAATAATGAAAGTAAAACTGTTGAAAAGTACCTATAGAAAAAACAATAATATTTGAAAATAAAACAAAGAATAAACAATAGTATTTAATTACCTACATAAATATATTATTAAATTTAAAACATAAATAAATAATAAAATTGAAATCCTAGCAAAAAAATCAAAAATATATTTAAAACTTAAGTGAAAATATTACCAATACCAGAAAAAAGCGTAAATATTTCTAAAAAAGAAAAGAAAA